AGACAAATTGTAAATAAAAATTTATAATAAAAGTATATGACTTTTTGCTAATGATAAAACATTATATATTTTTTTGGTGTAGCTTGTGAAATTTTGATCTGTCATATCATGTCACTTTTTGTCTCAATAACTTGGATTGTTTCGAGTTATTTTAAAGTAAGGATCATCCTTCTTTTAACTAGCAACTACTATATAGTTAAAGAATTCAGAAAATTCCCATTTGTTCATGCACGATTAGGGCAAAAAAGTTCAGTGGAGCAATACAAGACCTTGCTCTTCCCAACTCAAAACACACATGGACGAGCCTTCATGCCGCTGCCGGCAACCCTCTCGTGTAAGCAAAGAGATCAACCTTTCATTATTTATTTGTATTCTAACCATCCAAATGTTAGTATCGGCCATCATCCAAACGCTGACGTTGAACGATCTCCACCACAATCTGTATGATCGGGGATAGATGTGCGTGCGCATGCCACTGTAGAGCTGCCGAGGTCCATCTTTATTATTTGTATCGTAATAATCATCGATATGTTAGTATCGATCATCATCGATACGTTGATATTAAATAGTCTCCACCATAATCTAGGGTAGATACGTGTGCGCATGCCTGTACACAGCAGCTGCTGCGTGGGGGGCCCAGGTTTAAGAGACTGCAACTCGGAAGCTTTTGTGAGCGTATACCAGCGTGATAAAAAGAAACATTCGTCAGAAGCCTTCCTCAACATCTACTGTCGTCCTGCCATTATTTCCCATCGCTTTATGTCGTGCCATTATGATCGTATATAAATAATAGCTTAGCATGGAATTGAGGCCGTATAACAGGTCATAATGTCTCGGGAAAGATGCAACTCACATGCGACTCACAGAGACGAAAGAATGGCCTGTCATTATTGACCTGCAACGAAGCAAAGCAGCGCTGCTCTTCTGAAGCTTCCACGATGCATTAGACAAAATGTCCATGCACGGTTGACGGTGGAGCCTGATCTGCTTCTCTTTCATTTATCTCTTTCATCTTGTGATTAGGCGTCGGGAAGGTCGCCATCCCCCGTGTCTGCTCACCTTTCTAAAACCCAGCGACGGAAACCCACATAGGAAGTGCACATCAAGCTCGTAACACAATGCTAACAGATTGGCACAGGGGAGGGACGTGGAATTAGGAACTAACACTAATCTTAAACCGACCATACTGATCCGGTTGACAAAAGCAACACCTCCAAGAGCTCGTCAGTTTCCATAGCTTGCTACCTTTGTGTTATTATGCTGATACAATATGCACCATACGGGTGGGACTAGACCCGGATGGGCGCGGCGGAGGCGGCATCGCGGGTGGAAGGCTCTGCGGCAGCGGCAGCGGCGGCGGCGGCGGCAACGGAGTGGGAGGCAGAGGAGGAGGAGGCGGAGGAGAGGTGGTTCTTGTTGTTGTGCATCCAGACCTTGAGGACGTGGCGCTTGACGCCGATCTGAAGGCAGAACTCGTCCAGCGCGACGTCGTCCTGCTTCTGGACGCGCCACCCCAGCTTCTCCGCGAAGGCCTGCATCTTCTCCTTCTGCTCCGCCGTGAACTTGGTGCGGAACCGCTTCCGCGACCCCGCCGCCTCGGCCGCTGCCTCCTCGCGCCGCGGCGGCGTCTCCGACCCCACCCGGCAGCTACGGTCCTGCGCGGCCTCCCGGCACGGCGGAGGCGGGGCCGCGGCGAGAGGCGGCGGCTGCATCGCGTGGTACGTTAGCGGTAGCGGGGATGGCAGGAAGGCGGGGAACTGCGGTGGAGGCGACTGCACTAGCTTGCTGTGATCCCACGCGGCGGCAGGGGCGCCGGGGCCATAGAGGAGGAGGGGTGGCGGCGGCCGAGGCCCGGCGACGGAAATCCCCTCCCGCCGGTGAAAGTTGCGGTGGCATCCGCAAGCGGCGCACTTAAGGGCCTCCAAACTCCCGTCCTCACCGCCCGGCATGAACTCACCGCACCCGTCGTAGGACTGCCCTCCCATCGCTGCCGCGTGGTTGCGGAGGCATTCCCGGTACCTGCCCCCTCCACCGCCGCCTCCCGCAGCCTCCGCCGCCTCTTCGCTCCCCCCCTTATAAGGTACCACGCTTAAATCCATCAGCTGTCGCTTTCTTGTTAAGCGGTAGACAGGCCCAAAGCGAGGGTTTTCTCCGCGCTCCCACACGCCGAAATTAACCCTTTATAATCGCGGAACAGGTATCCAGCCCCCAAATCTTGACACCATTCGGATCCAAGAGCTTAATCCGTCACCCGACCGCCCACCAACTGTTCGGTAATAAGCCCGCCCACCTCCTTTCTAACCTTCCGTCGCGGGATAAAACCCTCCTCCTAACCTTCGTCCAGCGCCACAGCACCCGAGAGAACGGGTGGGTTTTGATGAATAATAAAGGCGGCCACCGATGGGATCACGTGCGCCAGGCCACGTGCAGGCAACTCGCCGGGGGCGGGCCTGAGAGACGCGATCGGTGTGGTCATCCTGATTAGACATGCACGGTTGCACGTGTCCACTTTTGATTCGGTTCGAACCTCGACTTTTCAGCCTTTCCGGAGCCCACCACGTGGGGAGCCTGTCAGCGGCGTGGGGTGGGCTTCAGACCGTCCGATGCGCTCATCCAATGGCTGTTAAGTCAGGCCGCCAGCGGGTCCCCGTTGGCGTGGAATGCTCCATGGCGGCGTGGGGCCCTTTGGCATGATTTTACTATCACCCCACGATTTCGGATGCTTATCGCTAGCGATGGTGTACAGCGAAGCGGTGAAAAGGAAAAATCGGGCGTGCGCATAGCGGTCCTGATGCGGGCCGCCCATGACCAGGGACGCACTGTGCGTGGCCGTTGTCGCGGCGGAGCAAGTGGGCGCAGGATAAGGCGAAGCGCGCACGCCGAATGATTCGCCGCAGCAGAAGGCCCCGATACGGTGACGTCATGGGCGGTCGATGATCCCACTCGGAAATCGTGCCTCACAATAAATGCCGCGGCGCTTCTTTCAATTTATCACCGCGTCATGTCTTCGTAACGGGGTCAGCCGGACAGGCACATAAATGGGTCGATGAAAAGCTAAACGTGAGGACGATGGGACCCATCGAGACTGATCAATCACAAGGGAAGATTTACTGCCTTGTGCGGGCCCCCTTTTTTTTTTTTGTCATTTGGTTTCGTTTGTTTCCTACGGGCTTTTGTTCCGATGGGTGGCGTTAATGTGGGTTTGAACGTGGTGACGAGCATTGACCCTGTGCGATGTGAGGAGTGGTGTGTACCAGAGGGTCCTCTTTTGTGGCTTTGGGGATGAGCGATTGACGTGAGTTAGCGTTTGGAATTTACGTGGGGAGGGAGGGAGATTTCTTGGGGCTTTCTAATTGCAGCTGATTTGACCGAAGGTCTTGATTCTGTGGTCGGCAGCCGATACGAGACGGGGAGGTTGTGGTGTGGTAATAACATTTTGACTGTGGGACATGACGATAATATTTATAAATAAAAAATAACGGTTATAAATATAATTAATTTAAATATCATCTTCATATGACTAATTATTTTTTTAGAAAAAAATATTTATATTTTGGATATTTTTTAAAAATACCACTCTTTTATTTTTATTTTCGAACAATACCTCTAGTTAAAAAATTATCTAAAATATCTTTCAAAACTTTTTTTCGTCAAATTTTTTTATTAGTTTTCAACTGCTATCATGTTTTCATTTAATTCGTTTATAATAATTTTCAATAGTATTTATAATATTTTATTAATATATTAAAAATACTATAAATATTATTAAAAAATACTATGAGTGATATCATATCTCTTTCATCATAGATAATTATAATATTATATTTTTAGACTTATAATTAGTTTAGTTAAGATTAAAAAATTTCTTTAGATCATTTATAATATTTTTAAGTAGGCTTTATAATTTTTTTGTTATGATAACTAAAATAATTAATTTTTTTTGAGAGATAGTTTTAATATTTTTTAAATTAGAGATATTATTAAAAAAAAAATATAAGGTACGGATTGCAAAATATGAATATTTTTAAGAAAAAATATCTTTTTTTTTTTTAATTCCATCAAGGACTTTTGGACTAGACATTTCGATGCATGAAGATCAAACCTGTGACAACATCCGAGAGAGAGAGAGAGAGAGAGGAGTTACTGAGCATTCATAACAAGTCGGGATCCCTGTGGGCCACGATGGATATGGTCGGTGGTAGAAGATGGGCACATTGATGGTGTGTAATTTGTAGAGGTGGTCATGTCGTGGACCGAAAGCAGCTGTCGGCTTTACTCGATTGCGGCTGTGGATATAACATGGTTTCGTTTCCAAATGATTGATGGGTGCAGCTACAAAAGTTTCCCTACTTGCAGATTGGATTCGGTGGCCAGCTAAATGTTGGTTGATCTCAGAGACATTTTGTCGTTTTTCTTCAAGTGTTTGGATGCTTTAAGACTACTGTTTTACTAGGGCCAGTGTGATTTTTCTTGGGCAAGACGACGCTGGGTTGTATCTATGTATAGAGTAAATCAATCAATCTCTAAATAATCAAGAGTTCAACTCACCTTTGAAGACTTAAAGATTAAAAGAGAAACACCCCAAACAATGTTTGTTTGCTACAATTGCCTTCGGGCATTTAGTGCACTGAGGTTAATTGTTATTTTTTCCGACATAGGAAAGTGGTTGTTTTAGTTCGTACGAATCTTTTGTTGCTAAAGCATTTTGGGCTTTGAATGTTATATACTTTTTTGTTTCTATGATAGGAAAACAGAGGCACGACAAGAATTTCCAGTTTGGAGCCGAAATCAATTTGTACATGACCTACAAATCCATTAAGATACGACGTCACTTCAAGATCGTTGTCAAGTGATCTACTTAGCAGCACTTGTACTCGAAACTGAAAGTTGGAGGCAATCATGAGGTTAGTATCTTTCATGAACAGTCGGCTATTAAATTGTATGGCCAACAACATTGAAATTGCTCTATAGTTTGGAAACCCTCATTAACATTCTGCCGATGATCAAAGCCCATAAATATGATCTGAAGGATATTACAAGGTAGATTGATTGATACAAACAATGATCGTGAATGTTGCCGAGAAAGCTTACCTGAGAACCATACAACATAATTGACTATGATATTCAGAATCATTCTTGGTTTCCTGCTTAGGAAATTGGCATAAGAATGTCTATTGGCATTTGCTATGAAGCTTAACAAGTTCTTCATCCTCGACAACAAAAAGTTTATCGTTGTCTCTCAAAACCTCAATGGATTCTACCTCTGCACCATCTTCGTTGGTCAATATTCTGTTTCTTGCATCGATTTCAAACTTGTTGCCTGTCAACAAAGAAAACATTCATGCCCAGAAGAGAGGAGGAAAAACAAAAAAAATTAATTTTGTATGAGAAGACACTTGAAATTCTTGGTAAAAAGTTTTGACATAAATCTTATGGTTTATCTTCAAAGGATGAAACCAGTTCATCCATCGAACTGGGTAGATGACCTCTTGTGCTCGTATAGAAAATGACAAGGTATAATTGTTCATACCAATAATTGTTTTGAGCTCTTCCATGGTGCTTGGCAAACACATTAACTTTCCACTTCCGGAGCAGTTGTTTCTGAGCAGTGGATGACCCTTGTACACGCTAATCCTTGGAGGATATCCATTTGTTTCCAACTTGAAGGAATTTTCCTGCTTCTCCAGCACCAGAGTTTGTGTAAACTGTCCATTTGATTCAGGTAAAGTATTTACGCATCCAGCATCTCTTTGCTGGTCCATTTCTTTTAAGACTCCGTTTCTTATTTTCCTTGCTCCTCTCCCATTAAGATTTGCTTTCTCTATGCTGGCCCCATTCAAGACCAGGAAAGCAACCATATCTTCATAATTTTCAGCAAGAGCTATTTGCAGTGCTGTTAATCCTTCATGGTTTTCGGAGTCTATGTTCAAACCATGTTTCAATAACTCCTTCATGGTTGAAAGATCATTTCTTTTGGCTGCAAGGCATAGAAGATCACCGCTGGTGTTGGGATTGGAAATGCATGCACATTGGTGTAAGAGATTGAAAATTTTATGGTGTTTTGCGGCGATGGCATCCCATAATGGAGTATTTCCATCCATGTCTGACATTGGAGGAACAGAGTTAGTATTAAAGTTGAACATACATCCTCTCTTATTATGTATAAAAGATAGAAGACATGTGAAAGAGTTCAAAGCCTAAGATGCATACCTTGTATATTTAAGTTGCCGGCATGATTGAGTAGAACCAGAACACAATCCTCGTATCCTTTTGATGCTGCTATATGCTAAATAGACGATAAAGAAACAAGTAAAACTCATTGTGTCTGCTCTCTCTCTCTCTC